CATGTTGCTGTTCTGTGCCTTCAAGTAGTTTTTGACTTATGGCAATCCTTAGGCAAAGCTATTAAGGTATGGTTGTTGTTGTTGTTGTTGTTGTTGTTGTTGTTGTTGTTGTGTGTGTGTGTGTGTGTTTGGCAAGAGTTGTTCAGAAGAGGTTTACCTTTGACTTCTGCTGAGGCTGAGAAAATGTCCCTTGCCAAGGTCAGCCAGTGGGTTTCCATGACCAAATGAGGATTTGAGCTGTGGTCTCTGGAGTCATATTTAATGCTCAAACCACAACATTATGCTCTCAACTGAATCAATAGCAATAGCAAGTACATTTCTATAGTGTTTATCAGAGCAGTTAAGCACTCCCTAAACAGTTTAAAATATGTAAGCTAATTGCCCCCAACAAGCTGGGTACTCATTTTAGTGACCTCAGAAGGATGCCAGCCTAAGCCAGCCCTAAGCACCTGGCTGGTATTCAACTCACAGTGTATGAATGAGTGGCTGCAGTGCAGGCATTTAAACACTATGCCACCAGAGTTCTAATAATTTTCCCTGCCCAAGGCATGTGTTACATAAGCAGGGATTTTTTTTAAGTATTACAGTTATAAAAATTGTCAGGATTCCTGTCTTCTTCCCCCTTTTGATTCAGTCACTGATCTTGTTGCTCTTGACAAATAGCTAAAATTTTGTGAATTTGTTTATTGGTATACAGTGACAGTGCCATTCAATGACCTCTATTGTAGGTTTACTTCTCTGTATATTCTGCAAGACAAAAGTTCATGTGGGAGACATAGAGTCATGTGTAATGCATGATGGCTGTGCAGAACACATTACTCCATTTCTAGCACCTGTGACATTTATGTTCATTCATATTTTTTGGGTGCCTGTGTGGCCAGTGAAAAGAAACATAGGGCCTTTACAGATGGCCAGAATTAATGCAGCTTGAAGCCATTTTAACTGTCCTGGCTCAGTGCTAGGGAATCATGGGAACTGTATTTTTTTTCGTGGGCAGTTAAAGTGGCCTCAAGCTGCATTATTTCTGGCAGTCTGTAAAGGCCCTTAGGCACTCAATTCCCACTTTTTTCCTACTCTGACAGAAAACAAAACAGAAATAGTCAATAATTAACACATACACACACACACACACACAAAGTATTATTCTGCAATATTTTGGGTTATTAATATTGCTTGGGAGATTTGTATGGTAGATATTCAGGTAGAAGGCAAATATCCAGATCAGAAATTGACATTATATGATGAAATGAGTTAGCAAGCATAATGAAAAACATCTGCCAATGAGATGAGCAAATCATAAGGCAGGCTCTGTCAACAAAATAATTAAAGGTTGATTTATGAGCAAAGGAGTAAATAATGTGCTATATAAAGTACTGAAAGATAAATCTCCTGTTCAGTAGTTTCAGAAGATTCATACTAGGAAATTCAGTAAAAGTGACAGAAATAGTAGCAAGGGAGAGATATTATAGGCTTGATTGTGTATTATGCCTGAATGGAAGATAAAACATGAGACTATAAAATGTCAAATCCCATATAACTGTTTATTACCTCTTAAGAAGTGCTACTATACAGGAATATCAGATACGATCACAATTATTTGATATTTTAATCTGCTGGGGAAGTCAGAATGCAGGGTCACAGTTTCACTTTTACCATTGCATCATTGTAAAACTACAAATCCAAGAATTCCATATGAAGGAGTTACAGCACTTAAAGTTGTGTCAAACTGCATAATTTCAACAGTAGATGCACAATGAGAAAGATAATAGGTATATGTGGTAGCTGTTTTTTAGAAGAAAGTTAAGCAACATCTTACAACATTAACATACACATATAATAAAATAAAATATTTTTTTGTCCCAAACATTTTATCTTTAGTCTTGTTTCATTAAAAAAACAACAACATGACAAGTCAATGATACCCAGAAATATTATATACAAATCCTTTTTCACAGTTGTGTCATATAATGTTTAAAATGTAGATCTACCTCTGTAGGATTCTGCAGGAAACAGGTTGTGGCCAAATGACTGAAATCTAGTATCGTAGTTTAAGCTGACCAATACCATGGAACCAAAGACTCACAAAACCCCAAGCTTGGAGCAGAGACAGTAGAGGTATAAAGAATATTCAAATATATTCAACAATGGGTGATTTTTTTAATGTTGAGAGATCTTGACAAGGAGAATGCTAGGCTGATGACAAAATTTTCAGTTCAGGATTTACTTCATGCAAAACCCACATCTTTATTTTTCACACAGAAAACAGCATTTTCTGGGTAGGGAACATCTTTTATGGCCTGGAAAATACTACTTCTTTGGAATAAAAAAATATAAAAAAAACCTTGTGTGAATTGTATGCAGAATAACTCCCAAATTGTGAACAGTCTTCAAATGCTGCACAGTTTCCAATTGTTTTCTTGTAGTGAAAAAACCTAATAACATTATTTGTTCCTTCTTTCATGAAGGAAATTAGAAAAGAGTTACATCTTACCCAGCACACATGTGTCCAAAACCTTCCTACTCTCTGGAGTGAATGCACAAAAGAAGACCATATGCCTATCATGAGCTCTTGCAGTGATGAAAGAGTGATGACTTCTGTCCATTTAAAGACTTCCACTTTTCAAAGAAGTGCTAGAGTCTGGCACAGAGCTTTGAAAATCAAAATATAATGGGCTTCAGTCTGATCTCCATCTGTCTGCTTTGTCTGGCACTGACCATCTCATGAGGAAGGGAAGTTCTTGTACTGTAGATGGTTTATCAGGGGACACAATGGATATGTTCCCCAGTACAAAAGTTATCTGTTGCTGCCTGCCCACCAACAGCCAGATCAATGTCTTGCTCTCGAACTCCTCAAAACAAGGCATCAGATTATTCTGGAGTGATCCTCCAAACTCTCTCCTCTTTTGGCTAATAATGGATCAGAAAATTGGCCAACATAGGGCTTCTACAGACAGGCCCTTTGGGCTGTCCTGGAGGCAGGGATGGGGAGGGGCAGCCACACACCAGGCGCCCCAACCCCACGCTGAGGAAGTCCTGATGCCACACAACGTTACACATAGCGTGCGGCATCAGGACATCCTTCCAATGCAGCGTTTTGATGCACTGTGCCAGAAGGGGCACTAAAGAGCTATGTGCTGGCTCTTGGCATGCCCTTTTGCCAGTTCTGAAAGGATCAGGGCCGATGTGTCAGGCAGCCTTGGCCTCAATCCTCGATTTCCCAGGGTGGCCCTGGGCAAGCCCGTCTGCATCCCCCATAGTTCTTCATAGCAGCTGCCTGTGCAGTGTTTCACTTCAGAGAAAGTCATCAGGATGGCATTTCAATGGAGGGTCAAAGGTAATGGTGGAGGTCAGGGCAGCTCCAGGGCCAGAATACTCCAGGCTGCCCTTAGAGTAGTCTAGGACATGCAGACAGGGCTATGGTGGCTACAGCTTCTGAGAACTGAAAGTTCGAAACATCTGGAAGGCCCAAATTTGGGAATCACTATGTTATTCTATATTTAAGTTTTGCCTATGTTCAATTTTTGTCAGAAGCCCCTCAAGGGCCAAGTCAATCTATATAGCTGTATTGGCAACTAAGGAAAAAACTTTTTGACTATTTTGTCATGTTATTTACATTCACATATTACTCTGTGTCCCAGTAGACTTTAATAAATAACAGATAGTTAAACATATCTCTATGCAATATTGTTTCTCATATTCAAAACCTTTTATATGAGGTGCTATCATGCAGGGTATTTTTATGCCCAGTTGATTTGGCTGGTCCCATCTGTTTACATTAAATGATGTGGCCATTTAAAACCTGTTTGATGTGTACTGTTTAAAGCCCATTTGATGTGTACTGACCTTCCTTCTGTTTTTCCTTCTTCAACTTCATCATTTTATCCTGTGGCTTTTATAACCCTGAGTACACCTGCATACTTCATAATACACGTTTCCCCAGCTATTAATAAAACAGACTAGGCTTTGAAAGCTTACAACTGAAATTTGAAGTAGTACTTCCCATTCTTTTCTTTGACTGTATTTAAACTCCACAGAGTGAGGGGGTTATTTAAACATAAGAAGTGTCAAATTAATATTTTAAAAAAGCACCCAAGGAAGCTGGAAGAACTATTTGGAGATTACATTTGAAATCTAACTGCTATAGGCATTTTCTACAATTGTTCTTCCTAACAAAGGGAAATATTCACATCCTGACAATAAACTGGCCACCTGTTGTGATGAAAGTTAGCCCCCAGCTGACTTGATTGTTCTTTGAATACTCTCCTAAGCACGGCTGTAATGTGAAGAGAAAAACCTGACAGGGAAAAAAGTAAAAAACAATCATATTTTCATGGCCAGAAATATGTTATTGTAATCCTGGAAAAGTAAAAAGAAACAATTGCTTTGAATTTTGGCAAGAGCTCAGAAAAAGAACAGTCCTGTAACCCAGCTTTCTTGCCAGTGCCACAAAACAGGAATTGGGAACCAGGTCATACACTTGCTTAAGTGTTCTGCCGGAGGACTCCTTATTCAACTCTGCATCTCCTGCAGAATTGGAAGACAGGAAAGCAGCCACAGTGTGCTTTCCTCTAGGTTCTTTTTTCTTCCCCTCACACCTATGCTTTATAATAAAGAACACTTCAGTATGTCACAAAGCAGGCAGGCAGAAGAGAAGGTGAAAAGGTGAGGATGGGAAATAGTATGTTGCTGCAGTTGCCTTGGTTCCCAATTCAGCAGGAGATGTCCTGGTTACAATCTGGTCACCTAAGAGATAACATATTGATGCCTATTGTGAAAAACTGAAATGCATGTTCTAACTCTCATTTTCTTAGCAAGCAGAATCCTAGTGGTCCTCTTCCTCTTTCTTTATTTAAAAGATATATTCTAAAGAAGTGCAAATAGAATGAGTTATTGTTATTGTTGTCTGCCTTCATGTGGTTTCCAACTTATGGTAACCCTATCATGGGGTTTTCTGGGACTGAGAATGTGTGAGTCTCCCAAGACCACCCAATAGGTTTTCATGGTCAAGCTGGGAATTGAACTCTGATCTCCAGAATCAGAGTCCAGTGCTCAAACCACTATACCACACTGCCTCTAAAGCACAAATATTATTTCCTGAAGAGTCAGTTTACCACACAATCAACTCAAAAGTGTGATAGATCATCAACAGGTTTGATTTCATGGAGTGCAGGTATACTAATGACTATAGGTTATGATAGCTGTGTGTTACCTCCAATATCAGAGGAATTATGTCTCTTCATGCCAGTTGCTGGGGAACACAAGTGACAGGGTGCTGCTGAACTTCTATGCTTGTGGACTTCCCATATGTATTTGGTTGACCATTGTGGGAAGAGAATAATGGACTAGATAGCCTTTGGTCTGATTCAAAAGGGTTCTTATGCCTACCACATGGAGGTATCCATACAATTTCCTTGTAGGTTCTACAGTTTCTATTCTTACAGCGTAGGTCTGGCTTGTGCCACTGAAATGATCATTCAGGTAATATTGTGAACTGTGATTAGTTCCATTTCCAGTGTAGTAATTTTATATGTTCATTAGTGCACATTAAATTGAGGCACTGCCCTGGCTTAGTGCTAGGGAATCATGGGAAGTGTAGTTTATTGTGGCACCAGAGCTCTCTGACAGAGAAGGCTCAATGTCTCAGAAAAAAATACAATTCCCATGATTCCCTAACACTGAGCCAGGGCAGTGCCTCAATTTAATGTGCACTATTTCTGGCAGTCTGCAAAGGCCCTCAGTCTGACAAAAGTTGTGCTGTAGAAGTGTCAATGCTTGGAAATACATGAAGATATTATTGGTTGGAAATTTGGTGTAGAATTAAATACTCCTTCTTCTTCAGGAACATAGGTAACGATAGTTCTAGGGATTTCTAAGAGTGAATTATTCATGTAACCCAACCTGAAATGCTGGTTTAGCCCTCAAGGAGAAATGTTTCTGAAAGGATAGCAAAGGGAAGAGGTATGTGTTGTGTGCCTTTCAGTAATTTCTGACTTATGGTGACCCTAATGCAAGTTTTCCTGGCAATATTTGTTCAGAGGTGGCATGCTTTTGGCTTTCTCTGAAGGTGAGATAGTGTGACTTGCCCAGTGGGTTTCCATGGATGAGCAGGGATTTGAACCCTGGTCTCCAGAGTCATAGCCCAATGCTTAAACAACCACACCACAATATTCCTGGGCTTTTTCTGTCTTGAGGAGGTGTAAAGAATTGATACCTTTAGGTTAGATAGGGAATCAATGTTTTGGCTTTCAAAAATTATTATATTATTTGTTGGATTTGCATTGTTACAGTAAAGAAGGGCTATGCACATGCTACACTGGATAGAGATTTCCCATTCCATTCCTTTCCTTCTTTTTGTTTACTTGGAATATGAGCTGTTGACAAAGGAAAAGCTTGGAAGGCTCCAACACTTTATTGAACTGGGGAAACACTAGTTGATTGCAAGCCTTTCCAAACAAGATTTCAATATCATCTTTGAATGAAGAGGGGCTACTGGTTGCATTGTTCTTGTCTTCAATAGACTAAGGGGGGATGTAGACCAGG